AGGTCACTCTTCTCATTGGCCAGACCAGGCCATGTCTGAACCACAAGCACCCCATGACCACGGATGCTCAGCCCTCTGCTTCACACACGGTCAGCATGTGCTCGGACTCACGAAGAGAGCTACAGTGGCTGCCATGAGAAGCAGATTCTCCAGAGGAGCAACTTCAACGTTTCTTCACGTGTCTGCAGGAAGAAGGAGCAAGTCACAGCATATTAGGAGTAGAGAGTGATGGCCATCACGCAAGGAGCAGTGGGACATGCAGACCCAAGGGCATAGAAGCGTTTGTCCCTCAAACTCGGCAGGACTCTCAGGAAGTACAGAGAGCCAAGGGGATCTGTTCCCAAGCACATTACCTGATACCTTCAAAGTGAACCTCTTACCTGGCAGATGTGCAATGGTGCTGGTTCACCTGGCTATGCGGGAGTACTAAGAACAAGCCCCCTCAATCATGGTCCAGGGGGCATCCAGCACCATCAGCAAGGACACAGTCCCTCCATGGTGCCCAGAAGTCATCCGGCACCATCAGCAAGGAAAAAAGGCCTTCCATGGTGCCCAGAAGTCATCCGGCATCATCAGAAAGGACACAGGCCCTCCATGGGGCCCAGAAGTCATCCGGCACATCAGCAAGGACACTGTCCTTTTATGCAAGCCACTGTACACATAACTCAGAATTTCTCAAGTGTTTCAGCCGTAACAGGCTAAAGTTTCGAAAAGTCACTAGAAGTATTCTCTCAGGGAATATCTGAGAGAAAATCTGAGGAGTGCCTAATTTATAATCAGGAATTTTTTAACACTATTTCAAGGTTATTGCAATGATTTATTGAGAATCTCCAATAAAATGTGCATAACTTCCCCTAAATACAGACAGGTGACAATAAAAAATAGTTTCTTGCCTAATGACTCAAAAGTTGTACATAAAAAGGTCATGAAGGGTGAGGTGCAGCTCAGTCACAGAGCACTTGTCTAGCACGTCCAAGGGGTGGGTTAAATCCCTAGCACCAATACAGCACAGCCACCCTGCCCTCTTAATTACTTTATCTGAAACTTTAAGTCGTGTCCTTCATAAAGACATATCAGTCAAAAATACTGTGCATATTTTTCATGAAAGTTTCACTTTATTTTATGTAATATGGACAATTTTAGATAAAATACAACTATCAAAACTAAAAATATCAATTTTTTTCTTGCGGGGGGGATGGGGTACTGAGGATTGAACCTAGGGACACTCTACTCACTGAACTACATCTCCAGTCCTTTTTATTTTTTTTATTTTGAGGTAGGACCTCATCAAGCTGGGCTCAAACTCTGATTCCCTGCCTCAGCCTCCCAAGTGCCTGTAATTATAGGCACACATCACACACCTAGTTACAATCAGATTTATCTAAATTGTCTCAATGCCAGTGTGTATTCTACAATGGAATAAATTTAATTAAAGTGAGTACTGGTAATATACAATTTTTACAAAAATGTACATAAGTTTTATATAGCAAAATTGAAAATTAAAAAAAAAAAACAGCTGAGCAAATCCAATAATTCCTTAGAAAAAAGGACAAAAAGAGAAAGAAGGCAAAAAGATCACAGCCCAGATGGAACATGTGGTTTTACATTCATAAATTAACTACCATACTTCACACATTACAGATGAAAACAATATGAGAAAGCAACAGAGAAAAAGAAAGTATTTCATAATATTCAGTCTTGAAGAAAAAACTGACCTCCTGGCAAACTGACAAAGGTGAGAATCTCCGGAAGCGGAGATTCTCAGGCACCTGAGAAGCCCATCACAGGAAGCCAGGTGCAAGCTTGCAGCGCAGAGGCCTCCTCGCCCCCCACAGAAGGAAGCAGACCTGTCAGCACTGCCTCCACGAGAGGCCAGCTAGCCCAGCAAGAGGAGAAATCACCGGGCTCCAGAACACCAGTGTCCACATGGAAAGCCCGACAACCTGCAGACGATCGCCACAATCAACAGAAGTCAAGAGGTTTCTGAATTCACAATCAGTATATGAAAGTCAATCACCTTTCCATACAGACAGGAAATGCAACCTGAAGATGACTCACAGCAATGGAAGAGATTAGGCCAAATGTAATGAAAGATTTACAAGACTTTAAGGAACCAAACGGTATCAACAGGAGGAAAAATACATTCTTGGATAAAGATCAAGTTAATCCTGAAGAGGATGAAAGATAAGCTCTGTCATACGGATTTTAAGAGAATGATGGGATAGTGTGCTGTTAACAGTAACCTAAGCTAACAGGCAAGTGAACAGAACTGAGCCAGAACAAGACTCAATCTTCGCAGGGAATATCCTGCCTCAGGGATAGTAAGTATACAATTAGCTTTTAAAGCAAGAGCAAAATATGTTCTGGGGAAAAATTATACCCGCACTGAACACATACAGACATTTTTCTTGTCATTATCCCCTAAATAATACAGTATACAACTATTTACACCACATTTACATTGTGTTGGTATTATAAATAACCTAAAGATGGCCTAAGTGCACAACAGGATGTACACAGGTGATATGCAAACACTAGGCTGTCCTACATAAAGGATTTGGGCGCCCTTAGATTTTGGTACCTGTGGGACTAAGGAATCAGAACCCCCAGATTGCCAAGGATGACTGTACTTTTAAAAGCAGGTGATCCTGAAAGTGGCAGCATGCTGGGGCCATGTGCTGCAAGGTCAACAGCCTGTGACAGCACTCTACACTGACCAAAGCTCATAGCAACGACCCCAAGACATCAAAAAACATGGAGCAAAACCATGCTGATCTAAAAAGACCAGAGTACCCATGTTCTAATGAGTTTCCACATAGAATGGCTGCAACCACCATTCTTACACTTGCAAGAATAATCACCAGCTTCCCACTAGACCCCTCTCACCGTGATTCCTAGATGGTCAATACTGCAATTTCTAGATGGTCAATACTATTCTGCAGTAAACTCCAAATGTCACTGAAAATTCACCATGAGCTACCTATTGTAAGTCAGCTGATAGTTAAAATTTGTTAAATTTTCAAATAATATATAGACCTCTTAATATAGCAAGGAAATTCTATGAGAAAATCGTTCTGACAAAACAATAAATCTAAAAACAGTGACTTTATGTAGTAGAGTCCATTCAATCTGGGAATGTAATCAAGAATAATCACAAGCTGTTAAGAAAACATTACAACTTAAGAGATAAGAACAGTCTTGCACGTGTCCTCCTGGGTGATCACATTCCGTCTTGGCAAGGCATTTCCAGACAAAACTCCTATATTGAAGGTGAACTGATCCCTGGGAAGTTTTAAACAAGAACACCTTCGCGTAGAAACTGGAAACCATCAGTTATCTCACCTCAGTTATCAGGTTTAAAACCAGAAGGACTGGCTTTCTTTTTTTGAACGTGTTTAGAATCACATGTAAAATTAATAGAAGAGCTCCCACTTGTCAGAACTCTGTGCACTTAATTTACTTAAGCATTTTGGAAATGAGGTGAGACAGGTGCAGGAGAGAAAACCGCCTCCAGCACCTGTGGGCAGGAGGGGCCTCTCAGTGAGGCTCACCTCGGCACCTGGGGCGCCACTGCTATCTGGCATGTGTAGGAAGGGAAGTCCGCTTCAGGAAGGACTGCTCCCACTCAGTGGCCTACACCCAGGTGAGAGCGTCTTTTGGGGGTATCTGGTATTTAACCCAGGGGTACTTTTCCACTGAGCCACATCGTCATGTCCCCAGCCCTTTTTTATTTTGAGATATGGTCTTGCTGAGTTGCCCAGGCTCTCCTCAAACTTGAAATTCTCCTGCCTCAGCCTCGCCAGTCACTGGGATTACAGGTGTGCCCCATCTCTCCCACAGAACCTCTTTAATTTGGCACAACAACAAGAGTCAGCAGTACCTCATGAGAGGCACCACACAGGCTGTGTGTTTGCATAGCTCTCTGGCACAGGCACCCGGGACCTATAGGGCTACACTACAGCTGATCACTGTACACAGAAACACTCTCACCCCACCTTTCCCCTCTGAAGTCCAAGAAACCCTTTTTCACTTGCGAGCAGTAGGCCAGATCAAGGGGCATACGGGGCAAGAAAAGGCTTCCAAGTCATGTCACCAATGAGGAAATGTGCTCTGGAAAAGAATGCCACCCAGCTGCCCCACACTTGGCAGCAAGAAAGCATGCACTGCTCAGAGCACTGGTGAGGTCTGCCCAGTTCAGGGCTCTCTCACAAGTGCCTGCTCCTGTGCAACAGCGCACTGAGCATCAGGGAATTCAGAGACGAAAGACTGACTCCAGGACAGAGAGGGCTGGTCATCCACAAGGGGCATGCAGCTGCATCTCTACAGAGACCCCCAGGGAGAGGGCAAGCATTGCCACCACCAGTGTTTAGCGAGGCAAGATGGGCAGGCCTTGTGTCGGTTTCCAGAGGTGGTATGTGGAGGGGTAGCACTGAGGCTGGCCTGGAGAGACCACCAGGGTACAGAAGGAGGGTGAAGAGCAAGATATGCTAGTGCCAAAAAGCCTCAGAAGCAGGGTGTTTGGGAAATGAAGGAGTGTCTGGAGACGGCAGCAGTCCACGTCACTAAAGGTGACAGCCAGAACAGTGAAGGGGAGCCTGTGGCCCAGAGACAGGCGACCGAGGACCAAGCCAACAAGTGGAGGTGGCAGGAGGGCTCAGGTGGACGAGGGCCGGGGCAGCACTGGGGTAATGAGGAGGACGCGCCTGTCAGGAGCTCAGGACAAGGGAGCAGCAGGCCAGAGCCACGGGGAGCAGTGGGTCTGAGTCTCCGGAGCTGATGGCGGCAGGTCACAGGCAGCCCGAGCTCAAGCTCCAGAAACCAAAGGCAGGAGAAGAGGTGGCCTGGGGTCGCCTGGGGTCCATCCTCTCAGTTCCCATACTGACCGACTACAGCTGGACCTGAAACGCCTCGAACATGGCACCCCAGAGGGGAAGGGTACGACTCTCCTAACACAAGCACATGCTCCCCCGCGCTCCTCAAAGAAAAGCCTACAGGATTACCAGGCAGAAACGGAGACTTCTTCTTTATAGCTTTTTTCTCTTTTTTATCCAACTTCTCAGGGCTTTCTGGCCCTTTCTCTGGCCCCGTGTCCGTGGGGTCTGCTTGCCCGGGGGACGCGCTGGCAGCATCGGGGCTCGCGGTTGGCCCTGTGGACGTCTTGGTGTGGCTGCAGTCGCTGGGCGGAGCTGCAACTGGAAGTGAAGACAGCCCACTGTTTTCTAAGGCTTGCTGGGACAGAAGAGAACTAGAAGGTTAGACGGCGGCAGCCACACCTGCCGCCACTCAATCCCACAGTGCCACACAGCTCACCCAGAATCTAACTGCACTCTGAGAACTCATCCTACAACTCAAGCACTTAGTCACCAGAGGCCTCCAACTCTCACAGACTGTAATGTCCCTTTTGATTTCTGACACCTCACCCCTACCCACAAGCAGTCACATCTCTTAATTAAAGAGAAATAACATCATCCATCGATCGACTTTCAGAAGCTTACCTCAGACAACCCAGGTGGTCTCTGAGCAGACCTGGGGCTCTACCTCAGGGCATGAGGACACTCAGGTGGTATCCTAAGGTTCCCTATCACCTTGGCCCACTTCTCCCCACCAGGTACAGGGAAGAAGCTGGCTTAACAGAAGAGGAGGAGGACCACTTTTACTCTTTCAGAGTAAAAAAACAGGGTTTTCAATGTTTTTAATGTATTAATCAGTGGATCATCTGGAATTCTACACTGTCCATGGGCCTCAAAACAGCATGCACTTCTCACTGTCTCCTCCTCCAGCGCCCACGTGCAGCCAGGTGCCTTCACTCAGGCAAGCCTGCCTGCCCACCTGGCACCGTGACCCTGGTTTCTGACAGCACTCAGGTGGAAACCTCAGGCAGGCAGGCAAACGTGCTTCACCTGTAGAATGTCCTGGTTGATGCCCACTGTGATGCTCAGCTGCTGCCCGGGCTGTGGGGACTGGTGGGACTCCACAGGCCCTGGCTCTGAGAGTTCCAGAAGCTGCTGGATGACATCCGTCACGGCCTGAGAGTTCTGCTGGCTTGAGGCTGCGGAGGCCTGGGAGTCCGTCTGCTGCAGAGGCAAGGTCTGAAACAGCGTGGCCTGGAATGCAGCAATACGGTCAGGAGAAACACAGCTTTCCAACTTCAACAGAAGAAACAGTCACACACACTGTCCTCAAGAGCACTAACATCTAGCAGAACCCTGACGTTAGAGAAAGAGACATTCTGTCTATGCATGCTAATCAATTCTTAAATTATAATGCAAAGATAAACAATATTCAATAATTATCAATCACACTGACGGTAGGAGTTGTAATTCCATGAATAACTGACATTTTATCTCACTCTAATGAGTTCAGATGGCATCATCTACTATTATTCTGAAGTTTAAAAAGATTGACTTTCACTGATTAACACAAAAAGCAGCACCTTATCTCCAGAGAAAAACCTCCACAGACCCTTTCTGGTACTAATACAAATTTCAATGTTCAATGTTAAAGGTACACTTAAAACGACAGATTGTAGTTAAAAAAATAAATAAATAAATAATCGCCTGATTACCAAGTCCCTAAACTTACCGTAATGACGTGCGCAGTCTCTGCAGAGCTTGTGGGATTCGGGGGCCCCCCCATGTGCATCTTACTGATGTGCGTATTCAAGCTGCCGAGGCTCTTAAATACACAGCTGCATGCTGTGCAGTTGTAGGTAGGACCACTCTTGACCTTACAGAATAAGAGAAAAAGTTGTTTTGAAAAGTATATTTAAATTATAGCAAGTCATAATTTATTATTCCATTCAAAATGATAAAAAACAAGCCTTCAACATTATTCTTTCTTTTGAAGTAGACAGCTGTAGAATCAATGACCCAACTCTTTAATATTGAGATTAACTGAAATTGTAGTCTTCTCTGTACATGAGAAATGGCTCAAGTTAAGAAACATACTTTTCATTTATTGTAATTTAATAAAAAATAAAACATCTAACATTTTTCAGTTTCTTAAACAGCTGAACATAATGTTCAATAATGAAGGTTAGAGAGAAACATGACTGAAAAACGAGCTTTTGAGGGCCTCAGATGCAGGTTGAGAAGAAGGACCACAATGTGTACATTTTTCATCACCAATTTTGATATTCATTATCAAGGACTAATTTTTAGAACAACAGTAAAGCTAGAAACAGACCACAGAGAGTAATAAGAACGCCTGTGAATAGAGAAAGCATCCAAAATGTTCACTATCACTAAACCCCCGTGAGTGACCATTAGCAAGGAAGGCTTGCTTGAAAACTCACTGGCCCAGCTGAACGTGAGGAAGAACCCCCACTCTATTCCTGGCACCTCACTAAGAACCAAATTTAAGGACTGGATAATAGTCACAACCCACTCTGCAGAGGCCACTCTGGAACAGCCCACCCCAGCACAGGGCTCAGGGCATCCTCAAGAGGCACAGGCCAGTCCCTGCCCACTGCAGGGCTCTCTACATGAGGGCCACAGGGCATCCTTCAGCACTGTCCCGAGCTCCAGGGAGGCATCCCCCAAGCCACAGACAACACCAGGCCAGGCTTCCCGGGCCAACCCAGGCCGTCGTCACACGCCCTTCTACTGCCTCCAGGCCTTGGATAACAAAGGTTTTTTAAAAATAATTTATTGATTTTGGAATTCAATAAATTGTTTTAAAAATAACTTGTTATTATTTTTTGTGATTATAAAATTATATTTTAATGTGATTATAAAACTACGTGAAGTATATAGGGTTTTTAAACTTAAAATTCCACTTTCTTCATTTTAGATTTTATTCTGCTATTCTATAATCAAAGACAATTTCTACCTTTGTTTTATTATGTTTTTATTAACTCCCTAGTCATTTAAGAGGTGCTTGTGGTTTAACTCCAAGGAAAAATTTAAAAGATAAATATTTACTTTTTAAAATACAGTCGTTTTCATTGTTCAAGATGTTTCGTGGACTAAATTCATCCGTAACAAAAGTATCTGTGTTGCTTAAATATTTCTTTATATTCTACAGTAATAAGAGACCAGATCATGACAATTAGTAAGAGCAAAGGTTATCCTACTTAACAAAACTAATGCCAGAGAATCTGCAAATCACTGGGACCCAAAGATAACGGGGACGAAGTCACAGTGGATGGAACATGCAGAAAGGCAGAGCCAGCAGCACAGGCTGGAAGCCTCTGCAGGCCACAGGCCACGCTCACGTTAAAGGATGTCAGCAATAGGAACACTGCTTTCTTCCTCTCGACTTCATATTTTGTCTTTCAGATTCTTACACTTACTGTATGTGTATTTCGAGTTCACTAAAGGAATGACAGACATTTGTTGGCTAATAGATCTTAACTAACAAAGATATTATGGTTATTTTCAGATACTTATCCATCTAAGGTTCCACATACATTTTTACTTATTTATCCAAAAAGTTCCAATACACATTTCTTCTAAAACAGGTTGCTCAGCACAAACTCACTCTGCATTTCTAAACAATGGTTCACCCTTAAGGCAAGGTGTCTCCCACAGGCTGTGCAACCCCCAGATGCATGCTCACCTCTGAGTGAACTCTCTGCACGTGGGACTGGAGATTCCCCTTCTGAGAAAAGGCAGCAGGGCAAAAGGCACAGGCATGGGGCTTCTCGCCCGTATGCTTGATCATGTGGGTCTGCAATGCCCCCTTCTGGTTGAAAGCTTTTCCACACTCGCTGCATTTAAATGGCCTTTCACCTAGACGGGGAGGAAAAGGACCACTGTGTGAGCATCTTAGGACTGCAAAGAGACACACACGAGCTACCTAAAATCGAGTCCCCAAACCTCTCTCCAGCCAAAACTGCTTCCCAAAATTCTACACTGTCTGTTCAATATATCAAAGTGCAACACGTCCCAAACAGAACCTCTGACCATCGCCCGAAAGCTCCAGGGCAACCCTCCGACCAAGGCCATCCTCCTGGGGCCTGGCATCCTGCCTGAGGATCCTCTTGGGCCCACACTCCCTGCCAGCAACTTCTTCTGGTTCTGCCCCCTGCACAGCCCCATGGATGCACTGCTGCTCCGTGGCCTGCAGGGGCGGCCCTCAGCTCAGCAGATGGAGGAGCCCTTTCTAGAACTGAGCCAGGGCTAACTGGCTGGGGCCCAATGCCTCCCAGCCCCACTCCTCAGTCCCTCGAGTCTCTGGCTGATAGCCCAGCGTAATAGGCAGCTCCAGTCTTGACCTGACATTTGGCCTGGAGCGTCCATCCCAGGACTCACAGGCTCACTTCCTCATGTTCTTTGGCCCTGGTACAAAATCACCTTCTCAGGGATGGCTTTCCAGCTTCTTGGAATGCTATGCTGGGAATGCCGAACCCCCTCCCCCTTCCCCATCCCCCCAGCACATGGCTCTTCACATCCTATTCTTATCCATCTTCCTTTGCTAGAATACATGCTCCAGGAAAGCCCAGGCTTTATCTGTTTTGCACAGGACTCCACCTTCAGTTCCTAGAACAGTACCTGACACAGATTAACACTCAACATTCTCTGAAGAATGAATGAAAAGGAAAAATGGGGTAGCTTAAAACCCAGTTGCAAACTAGTTTAATTTTAGATCTCACTAAGGACTCATTCCCTAATAAGTATAGAAGAGCTAATTCAGAAATAACATCAGAGAGCTGTGTGCAGTGGCACACGCCTGTAATTCCAGCTGCTCAGGAGGCTGAGGCAAGAGGATTGCAAATTCAAAGCCAACCTCATGAATTACTGAGGCCCATAAGCAACTTAACAAGACCCTGACTCTAAACAAAAAATAAAAAAGGGCTGGGAATGTAGGGTCAGTGGTTAAGCACCGTGGGTTAAATCCCTAGCGTGAGCGCGCGCGCACACACACACGCACGCACACACACGCGCGCGCGCACACACACACAAAAAGCCTCAGGGTTAATTAGGTAACTAAATGAGACAGCACAACCTTAGAGATAAGGCTGGGACAGGAGGCAGCCTACCCCCACCCGGGGACATGCTGGGGACGAGGGGCAGCAGCTAGGAACCGGGTGCTGGCCACAGGTGAACCTGGTGGTCACAGGCAAACTTGGTGAAGACATCCTTCCTGTTCCAGCTTTAACTGCTGAGAGGCTCCCCACCTTCACAGGATGGGACCTGGGCGGGACACCCAGGCCCGAGGAGCAATCTACCAAGAGGCCACGGCATCACATCGCAGGCACCCTGAGGCACACCACTGGAGATACCAAGCCCAGACCATCTTGTCCTTTCCTGAGACCACAGTGCAGTGATCACCACCACCTCCTTCCAGGGCCAGCCTGGGTGAGCTGACGAAGCGGGCCGACCTGAGCCTGCCAGAGGACGGACATGCTGCCCCCCAGTCCTCCAGGCAGCCCAGAGGACAGGAAGAGCATATGTGTGGTGAAGGCGTGGACAGGCGTGTGCGTGGACCTCTGGTGTGACACATGTATTTATGAAGGAAATGTGAAAGGGGCAGACATTGAATTGTTGAAGGCATCTGGTGGTGGCATGAGGTCCTACCTGCTCCACTCTGTGGAAGGCATGCAACAAGTTCAAACTATTCTTTGTTAATTAAAACTTTAAGGGAGATAAAATAAAATTTGATTTCTACAAATACAAATGCACTACCTACCATTCCGAAGACGTACTTTCTCTCTCCCTTGCGCTACAGGACAAACACAAGCTGCTACTCTGAAAATACCCACTTGGTCCTGACAAACAAGCTCTGACATCTGAACCGTTCCAAGACACAACAGGCGCTTGCTAAAACCCTGGGGAGGGAAGAAGTAACCCGAACAACAGCCCCTAGGCAGGTGTAAGGGCCGTGCTCTGGCACTCTGAAGGGCACTCCAAGCAGGACAGCAAAGGGCTACTCTGCCCACTCACGTTAAGTATCCACAGGCTTGTCCTGGTCTTCCCACTGACTGTGTCTCACCCACTGACTGTGTCTCACCCACTGACTGTGTCTCACCCACTGACTGTGTCTCCCCACTGACTCCGTCTCACCCACTGACTGTGTCTCCCCACTGACTCTGTCTCCCCACTGACTCTGTCTCCCCACTGACTGTGTCTCCCCACTGACTGTGTCTCACCCATTGTGTCTCACCCACTGACTCCATCTCACCCACTGACTCCGTCTTCCCACTGACTGTGTCTCAACCACTGACTCCGTCTCACCCACTGACTGTGTCTCACCCACTGACTCCGTCTCACCCACTGACTCCGTCTCACCCACTGACTGTGTCTCACCCACTGACTGTGTCTCCCCACTGACTGTGTCTCCCCACTGACTCCGTCTTCCCACTGACTCCGTCTTACCCACTGACTCTGTCTTACCCACTATCTCTGTCTCACCCACTGTCTCTGTCTTACCCACTGACTGTATCTTACCCACTGACTCCGTTTTACCCACTGACTCTGTCTCCTCACTGACTCTGTCTTACCCACTGACTGTGTCTTACCCATTGTCTCTGTCTCCCCACTGACTATGTCTCACCCACTGACTCCGTCTCACCCACTTACTGTGTCTCACCCACTGACTGTGTCTTACCCACTGACTCTGTCTCACCCACTGACTCCGTCTCACCCACTGACTCCGTCTCACCCACTGACTGTGTCTCACCCACTGACTGTATCTCACCCACTGACTCCGTCTCACCCACTTAGTGTGTCTCACCCACTGACTATGTCTTACCCACTGACTGCGTTTTACCCACTGACTCTGTCTTCCCACTGACTCTGTCTTACCCACTGACTCCGTCTTACCCACTGACTCTGTCTTACCCACTATCTCTGTCTCACCCACTGTCTCTGTCTTACCCACTGTCTCTGTCTTACCCACTGACTGTATCTTACCCACTGACTCCGTTTTACCCACTGTCTCTGTCTCCCCACTGACTCTGTCTTACCCAACAGTGGAGTGTTTGGCTGTGAATGCTATGCTCGGGTTTGAATGCTCAAGCAAAGCTAGCAAATGAGCAGGACATAGAGAAACGTTTTCATTACTCTGATATTTTATGGCCTAGTTGGCAAAGGCAGAGTTATCATAGTAAGAAGACCCAGCGCTCGGCACGCTCTTGGTTAATTCACACTTAACAGCATACCTCGGATATCTTTCATATTTTATTTTTACCCTACAGTACTGGGGACTGAACCCAGGACCTTGTGCATGCTAAGCACTCCCCCAATGAGCTACGCCCCATTGGTCCAGTGTCACACCTGACACATAACAGATATTCCTGAATTAAATAAGTTAATAAATATCACACCAAAGATAACAGTAATAACATCAGCTCCCAACTAATGGCAGCCACAATATACCAAGTACTTTCTATGAGCACTTCAGGTACTTTTTGCATTTATAAGTTAGGAAAATTACATGACAGATGTTATGTCCACATTTTTCACATAAGAAAATTAAGTCAGAGAAAAATTAGGTAATTTCACCAAAATTACACAGCCGGCTATGGATGAGCCAGGGTTAGATTACAAGCTGAGCCATCTCTGAGGGGCATTTTCTTTCCTCCAAGCCACATAATACATCATCCCAAAACAAGTGTTTCTCATACCTGTGTGTATCCTTATATGTCGCGTTAGCTGACTTGGCTTTTGAAACGTCTTTCCACAGTGTGGACATGAATATGTGAATCCACTCCTGTCAACATTCCGGTTATAAGACCTGGTTCCAGACACCCTAGTGTGACAGAGGAAGGTGCTCATTAGATTATCTCCTTTACATTACAGGTTCACAGTGAAAACACTGCCAGGCGGCCAGCGGGCGGGTCATGCAAACAGGTTCTAGAGGTCAGTCGTGCCCACACACACCCTAGTTTTGTGAATTCAGTATCATGAACTTCATTTTTTCTATTTCTATTGAAAAGAGAAACTTGGTTTTTGCAGGTCCAGACACTGCAGTTGGCAGGCACGGGCTCTGCCTGCCATGGTCAAATATGGAGACACTGGCAGGTATGATTTCCATGGGGACACTAACTGCACACCACCTCCTGCAGTCTGCTTGCTTTCCTAGTGTATGGACTCTGATGATTTCCACTTGGAACTCCCACAACCTGGCCACCCCTCTGAACTCCAGCCCTGGACGGTGGCTCTGTTGGCCTGGCCTCGTGACTGGCTGGCCAGAAGCTCCAGCCTGACCCATCCAACAAAGTACTCTGATTCTTTCCAACCTGCCCCTTTCCGCATCAGGACCCAGAGGCTCCTAAGTGTACAGATTTGAAACTCAGAAGTCACAATGGATCCTTCAAGACCCTCTCCAAGTCACCGGCTTTATTATGAAACACCCCTCTCAACTTCCAGCCACCTTCTCATCACGGACAGCACTGTCCTTTCCCAGTGGCCTGGTCAGCCTTGGCCTGTGGGTAAAGTCTTCTAAGGGCCACCCTCAGGGATGAGAACCCTGACTCCTGGGACAGTGGCCTCCCTCACACCCCCATGCCTGCCCTCTGCAGGGGCACGCACCACCCTGGCCGCCTTCCTGCTCTCAACCCAGGAAGCTCGGGCTAGAATTCTGCATGCCCTCCCGGCAGGCTGGCTGCCCTTTGTGTGATCCTGCCCGTTCCTTCAAACGCCCTCCTTAGGAGACCTGGTCAAGGAGCTGCCTCACTCTGATCAGACGACCTGACGGCGCTCACCTTGACTGACCCCTTCACGTGGTCCTACTAAAGGACAGCTCCCTGAGGACACAGCCTCAGCTGCCTGGTTCATCCCTCAATCTGCAAAGACCTAGAAGCTAGGGCTGCCTAGGTGTAATTACCACCTGGACATCCCCAGTCACCTCCAAAACCTTTAGAAGAAACATCAAAAACACCAATGCTAAGCCTCATCTGAGTAACACGCTAATAGTAGTGAATGCATCGTAAAAGCAGCAGATGAGCCCACAAACGCAGAGCCGGACCTGTTCTACAGCTTTTACACCATGGCTGGCACCTCCCACTGACCTTCCCAGTGACCTGCACTACCGTGGACCTGAACCAGGTGTGCGGAGCAGTGGTCTGGTGCCACACTGTCATGTGGTCTCACTTGGGGCACAGTATGTACTTCTCATCCATCATGGCAAAGAAGGCCAGGTTCAGAATTCTACCAAGCTCAAAGGACAGTCCATACCTAACTTTATAGTGAGTCTTCACATGGTCCTTCAGCTCTGCTGAGGTCTCAAACTCCTCCTTGCAGGACTTGCAGGTGTGGCTACGGGTGTTCGCCAGCTCCCGCCGGTGCTCCTCCAGGTGGATGGCCAGCTGGCTCTGCAGCGTGAACTCATCCCCACACTCCGAGCAGATGAGGTTCTGGAAGAAGAAACGCAGCTGTGAGCGGGACAGACACTGCCAAGCCACTGCTCCCTAATAGACCTGCACCTGAACAGTCAATAGACACACATTCTTCCCTCCTAGCAAACATTATTTTTATATCTCAAATAATCCACTGTCCAGATTTGAATGGATAAAAATCATCTTTATTGGAAGAGAAAGACTAGAAAAGGATGGGGAAACAACACAATTTTTAAGACAAATGAACTCTATACCCATGTGGCTTCAACAGCTAGCATTTGAGCCACCTGTTCCCAAAACCTCAAAGGAACAGAATGACTTCAACCTGCAACAGGGCCAGGAGAGAATTCAAGGACAGACTGTGCTTTAGCATACCACTTAAACAGAACAAAGACTCAGGAGTTTCAAATGGAGACACTACATCCTCTGTTCAGTGTGATCTACGGGCACAGTTGATCTTGAATTGCCCTGCGTGTGTGCCAGGAAACAGGCTAAAATACAGGACAGCACAAGCCCACCGCCAAAAAAAAAAAAGACTAAGGATCTGAACTGACCACCAGGCACAGTGGTGTGCACTGTAATCCAGCTTCTGAGAGTCTGAGGCAGGAGATCACAAGTTCAAGGCCAGTCTGGGCAATTTAGCAAGACGTTGCTCAAAACATTTTTTAAAAGGGCTGGGTATGGGGCATAGAGGTAGAATGTTCCTGAGTTCAACCCCTCATACCAAAAAGAAAAACACTGAGGTAACTGTATTTGGGTAATCTTTAGTAATGCACCTCACCTGCTGGGGGATTGCTGGTGCTATTGCTACTGCTGCTCCATTGCAGCTGGCCGGCACTAGCCCACACAAGCCGCAGGTAAGTCCACCTTCCCTGCAGTGTGCTGGGGACAGGCTGCAGTAGCCTGGGAGACCATGACAAAACCCAATCTGCTGGGATCGTCGCAGAAGATGCACTGTGGTACAAAGCCAGTGCTCGGCAGCCACGCCAGTGGCCCTCAGCCTGGCACAGGCTCCAGTCATGTACCCACATGCAGTTCCATAATATATCATTTCCTTAAATGATTTATGCTAGTATTTATAGTCCCTCCAAACAAACTGTCCAAACATGAAAAAGTGAGTTTAATCTGTCAATGAACATAAGTGGTTACTTCCAAATTAAAAGAAAAAAAAAATTGCATTTCTCGGGCTGAGGCTGTAGCTCAGAGGCAGAGTGCTTGCCCAGCAATGTGTGAGGCGCTGGGTTCAATCCTTAGCACCACATACAAATAAAATAATGGCATTTCATCCATCTACAACTACAAAAAAAATTTTTTTTGAAATTGCATTTCTCTCCATTCAAATTTCTTCTAATTACTGTGGATATCGTTTTGTAAATGTATGCAAACCTTGTTACAATCAGGCCATTGTAACTGATCCTCCCTAGAATTATGCTTCAGGAAATGACAAGGATGAATAAAATACTTTGAGCAGTCCAACAATGATTTAAACTTAAATGACTTTAAATTAGCATTATTATATAATAATTGAAGAAAATAATTAATTACTAGGTTGTTAGTGATGTGCTGATAATAAAGAAAATTTACTCTAGGATCTTGCCAAAAAGGAAGCAATTATCTATATCTTCCCTTACTGCATCTCTATAGAAAAGGCCTGCCCTCTTCATCCCTGCATGCTGGGCAGAAGGAAATGCTCATCCTCGTAACAAAGATCCCCCACGTCTCTCTTTCAAAGTACAAAGCTGAACTTGACCCTCACATCTACCCTCCCGGCCTTACTCTCTCATGCTCTGCTCACATCCGTCCTCTTCACTAGCTGCTGTACCAAAGGACCAGGGGTACATATCTCAGGGACTGTCTCCATGGATACTGTCAGATGTTCCTCAGAAGCATCTGATGACTCCACAAGAGCAGAGCAGAGCAGACAGTGCTGGGGAGGCAGGGGAGCACAGGGAGAGTGAGGGGGGCAACAGATCCAGTCATGTTTTTATGTATGTACAGACACACCACACGTCCATTCTGTATTGTGAAAACGCTGGCGTGTGCCCGATTCACTGGGCTGGAAAGCAGGACTGAGCTTCCCTGGGTCAGAGCCAAGATGGGCCACACTGTCCCTCTGCTCTCCACCCAGCATTCCAAAGGAGCCAGGACCTTCCTCCAGCTCTGCACGTGGGCCACACCTGAGGAAGTCCCAGGCAGGAGAACCAAAACGCATGCACAGCACAGGGACCACAGCCCTCACTTCGAGATATTCTCCGCACTAGAGAGAACACCAATCTCCCTAGAAACAGACTGTTGAGGTAACAGTGATGATGCTGAGTGGCCAGCAGGTCACCAGGGCAAAAGTACAGCATCCAGATCAACCTCAGCCTGCTCAAGATGGGCATCTGTAAGGAGCCAGAGCATGCAATCTGCACAGGTCGCGCTCCCTGCCGCCCAGGCCCCTGGCTGGGCAGCCACCTTCACCCACCTGAGCCCCAGGGCCTCCCCTTTCTAGGCTGCAAGCCCCTGGGCCACACTGCCCTTCCCTGCCCAGCTTTCCCAGCAGCCATTCTCGCTCTCCAGAAGCACCCACCTCTGGACTTCAGATGGTACCCGCAGCCCGAGACCCGAGATCAGAACACAGAGAGCTGCCCTCGTGGCATCCTGGGCCCTCTCCATGTCACTGTCCACTGCGGCACGGCCCAGACAGCACAGGTGCGTGCACAGCCCCCAGGAGCAGGTGTGTGTGAGTGTGCTACGCGCGGGAGCCTGTGGCAGCCCCTCACTGAAGCTCAACAATAAAGTGCCTTCAGGAAATCATCCCTAAGTGACTGGAGCTGTGCTCACTCTCTTGGCTGACTTCTCGAGTTTGAGACTTATTTTGATAGACTACTGGCCACTCTGGATTTCACACTACTCCTTTCAATAGAGCTCTATGGAAACATCAGCCTACGGTGTTCTAAGAGTGCAGCACCTACAGCTAAAAGGTGAACCATGTTCCTAAGAACGTATGTTCAGGTATAGTAAGAAAAGCTATTTCAAGTCAATTTTCTGAGGTAGAGCACACGCAAAACCTGCCCCTTTTGTGAGTAGCTTTCACTGCTGCACTGGATCCCTTCTGTGGTCTGTGCTGACCCCAGGAAGCACTCAGAGTACCACTCCCAGAGCTTCCAGGCACAGCCTCCAGACAACAGCAAAAGGAACCCCAGCAAATGGAGTGGACAGGAAGGACTGCAAGCCCCACTTTGGATGAAATCATAGCAAATTTTGAAAAGCATCTCCAAAGAACACAGAGCATGAAAGTTCTGCTCTTGGCCTGTGCAGCCACACTGGGCTAGGAGAAGTGCAGCTGCCCACCCAAGCTCTACCTCATCACCTGCACATGGCTGGGATATAGCTCAGGGGTAAAGCACTTGCCTAGGACATAAGAGGCCCTGGGTTCCACCTCCAGCATCACACACACACAAAAAGAGTTGATGGCTCCACCTACAGTAATGACCGAATCAGAAAATCAGACACTCATCAGTGACCTGTGGATTAACTGAGATTATTTAAAAATAACTATTAGAATTTGGAAATCTGTATAAAACTAGTTCTAGTTCTAGTGTCATGGGACACTAGTTCTAGTTCATGGGAAGGCAGTACTAAGAGGAAAGTTCATTGCATGGAGTTCATCCTTACAAGAAGAAAAAGTCAACAAATAAATGACCTCACACTACATCTCAAAGCCCTAGAAAAAGAAGAACAAATCCACACCAAAAGCAGTAGAAGACAGGAACTAATTAAAATCAGAGCTGAAATCAATGAAATTGAAACAAAAGAAACAATTGAAAATTTTGGGGAAAAAAGTTGGTTCTTGAAAAAAAATAAAATAATATTGATAAACTCTTAGCCATGCTAATGAAGAGAAGAAGAGAGAAAACTCAAATTACTAACATCCGTGATGAAAAAGGAACTACATGACCGACACTACAGAAATAGTCAACAATTAGATGTCATTGTGAAAACTTGTACTCCAATAAAATAAAAATATTGAAGGCAGACAAATTTCTAGAGTCATATGATTTGCCCAAACTGAATCAGGAAGATACACACAAGTTAACAGATCAATTTCAAGCAATGAAACAGAAGCTGCCATCAGAAGCCTACCAACCAAGAAAAGCCCAGGACCTGATGGATACACAGCCGAGTTCTACAAGACCCTTAAAGAATAACTAATACTAACACTCCTCAAATTATTTCACGAATATAAAAAGAGGCAGCACTTCCAAACTCAATCTATAAGGCCAATGTCACCCTGATTCCAAAACCAGGCAAAGACACATCAAAGAAAGAAAACTTCAGACCGACGTCTCTAATGAACATAGATGCAAAAATTCTCAATAAAATTCTGGCGAATCAAATACAAAAACATATCAAAAAGATCATGCAACACGATCAAGTGGGGTTCATCCCAGGGACGCAAAGTCGTCTCAGCATACGGAAATCAATAAATGTAATTCACCACATCAATAGACCTAAAGATAAGAATCAAATGATCATCTCAACAGATGCACAAAAAGCATCCGACAAATACAGCACTCTGACGTGTTCAAAACACTAGAAAAACTAGGGCTAACAGGAACATATCTCAACATTGTAAAAGTTGTCTATACTAAGCCCCAGGCCAACATCATTCTAAATGGAGAAAATTTGAAGGCATTCCCTCTAAAAACTGGAACAAGACAGGGATGCCCTCTTTCACCACTTCTATTTAACATAGTTCTTGAAACTCTAGCCAGAGAAATTAGACAAAAGAAACTAAAGGGATATGGATAGGAAAAGAAGAACTCAAGTTATCATTATTTGCCAACAATATGATTCTATGCCTAGAAGACCCAAAAAATTCCACCAGAAAACTTCTCCAACTAATAAATGAATTCAGCAAAGTAGAGGATATAAAATCAATATCCATAAATCAGAGGCATTTCCAAACATCAGTGACAAATCCTTTGAAAGAGAAACTAGGAAAACTACCCCATTTATAATAGCCTCAAAAAAATAAATAAATAAATAAAATACTTGGATTCAACTTAATGAAAGAGATGAAAGACCTCTACAATGAAAACTACAACACACTAAAGAAAGAAATTCAAGAAGACCTTAGAAGATGGAAAGATCTCTCTTGTTCTTGGACAGGCAGAATTAATATTGTCAAAATGACCATACTACCAAAAGCATTACACAGATTTAGTGCAATTCCAATCAAATTCCCAATGACATTCCTCATAGAAATAGAAAAAACAGTCATGAAATACATCTGGAAAAATAAGGGACCCATATAGCTAAAGCAATCTTTAGCAAAAAGAGTGAAGCAGGTGGCATCACTATACCAGACCTCAAACTATACTACAGAGCAGTAGTAACAAAACAGCATGGTATTGGCACCAAAATAGACTTGTTGACAGAGAGTACAGGATAGACGACACAGAGATAAACCCACACAAATACAGTTATCTCATACTATACAAAGGCACCAAAAACATATTGGAGAAAGGATAGCCTCTTCAACAAATTGTTCTGGGAAAACTGAAAATTCATATGCAACAAAATGAAATTAAGCCCCTATCTCTCACCATGCACAAAATTCAACTCAAACTGGATTAAAGGACCTAGGAATTAAACCAGATATCCTGCTCCTAATAGAAAAAAAAAAAAAAGTCATTATATCATTATGTCAGATTAGGCCCTGACTTCCTTGATAAGACACAGCTTTAGAGTTAATAGCAAGAATCAATAAATGGTATGAATCAAACTAAAAAGCTTCTTCTCAGCAAAAGAAATAATCAGCGAGGTGAATAGAGAGCCTACTTTTGGGGAGCAAATTTTTACTGCACACATCAGATAGAGCACTAATCTCTAGGATATATAAAGAACTCAAAAATATCAACACCAAAAAAAAAAAATAACCCAATCAATAAATGGGCCAAGGAACTAAACAGACATGATATATAATCTATCAACAAATACATGAAAAAATGTTCAAGAGAAATGCAAATCAAAACCACTTTAAGTTTTCATCTCACTCCAGTTAGAATGGCAGCTATTAAGAATACAAACATCAAAAAGTGTCGGAGAAAGGCACACTCATACATTGCTGGTAGGACGGCAAATTGGCCAATCAATATGGAAAGTGGTATGGAGATACCTTGGAAAACTTGGAATGGAAACACCATTTGACCCAGCTATCCCCCTTCTCAGTTTTTACCCAACATTGATGTTTATAGCAGCACAATTCACAATAACTGAACTGTGGAACCAACCTAGGTGCTCTTCAGTAGTTGAATGGATAAAGAAACTGTGGTATATATACACAATGGAATATTACTCAGCATTAAAGGAGAATAAAATAATGGCACTTGCAGGTAAGTAGATGGAGTAGGAGAATATCGTGCTAAGTGAAGTAAACCAATCCCAAAAAACCAAATGCCAAATGTTTTCTTTGATATGTGGGTGCCAATCCATATGGGGATGGGGGTGGGAGGGCAGCGTGTGAGGAATGGAGGGACTCTAGATAGGGCAAAGCAGAGGGAGCAGAAGGGAGGGGGCAGGGGAGTAGGAAAGACGGTGGAATGAGATGGACATCATCACCCCAAGTACATGTATGAAGACACGAATGGAGTGACTCTACTCTGTGTACAACCACAGACATGGAAAATTGTGCTCTATATGTGTGCTATGAATTGAAATGATCAGCATATCAAGGAAAACATATGGCATTTGCGGACTGGCTTACTTATTAATTGAAATGCATTCTGCTGTCATATATAACAAATTAGAAAAAATAAATACATTTTTTTAAAAAAACCTGGTTCATATGTAGCCAGATGCAGTGTTACAAGCCTGTAATCCCAGCAACTCAGGAGGCTGAGGCAGGAGGGCAGCAAGTTCAAGACCAGTCTCAGCAAATTAGTGAGGCCCTAAGCAACTTAGCAAGACCCTGTCTCAAAACAAAACATTATAAAAGAGCTGAGGATGTGGCTCAGTGTTAAAGTGCCCCTGGGTTTAATCCCCAACACACACACACTCACACACACACACACAAACACCCGAGTCCACAGGTAAAACCCTGCTGACCAGCAGGAGCACTTGGCCCTGAGCTCAGGATAGGACAGTACCTCTTCCTTTTCGTGCAGCATGAGGTGTGCCTTGAGGCTGGCCACCCGGGAGAACTTCTTGTTGCACACGGGGCAGGTGGGGTCGTCCCCATTGTGGGTGCACTTATGGAGAGTCAGGTTGAACTCGACGTTGAACGTCTGCGGACACTGGTCACATCGATGTGGCTATTTGGAGAAAAAAGTAAAGAAGCCACTGAAACCCAACCTTTCCACAAATACTTGTTCAATTAGTGTTTCTAAACAGCAGCCAGCACCAATCCAGACCTTTTCCAAACACTTCTCAGCTGCACAGGGACCTGTGTCAATAGATCCAGAGGGACACAGCAAAGCCACTGGCAGGACAGCAAGGATGGCAGAACAATGGCCCACACAGACAGCACTGGGGGTGAAGTGCCTGCAGATGTGCCAGTCACAGTCTCAGCACTGGATAAGGAGAAGCTCCAGCCCAGCAGGCAGCACCTCCCCTTCCTTTCTGAGCACTCACGCTGCCAACAGAGCCACCTCTAGCACAGTAAGCCACACTTGCCTTTCCAGACTGCCAGAGCTGCTTCCCAGGGACACAGTTCCCCCAGGGGCCACAGAGTCCGACTGAGGTGCCAAGAACCCAACTTTCCTCTGCGCCACACAGAGCTCGGCCAGAAGAGCCTGGGGCAGCCCTCCCGCGGCCCAGGACGACCCAGGATCCTGGTCCCCACAGTTCACCAGCTTATACTGCCCTACCACGAAAGAATCAGCAACCACTTTTTAGCTGTGACCACCACTACCACCCCAACCGTCAGGCAAATCCTTCCATGACTACACAGAATCCTTGGCACACCCACAAGGGGATGGTACAGGGGTTGGGTTGTAGCTCAGTGGCAGAGGGCATGCTTACCATGCATAGGCCCTGACTCAACCCCACCCACCAAAACCGACCAACCAACCAATCAACCCACCAGGCGGTGTTGCTCCTGCTAGAACTCAAAAACATCGGGATGCAATCCAGGCCTGACAATGCACACCGTAACCCCAGCTACTCAGTCTGAGGCAGGGGGACCACAGTTGCACGGCCAGCCTGGGCAACTTGGAAAGACCCTGTCTCAAATTTTTAAAAAGCACTGGGATATGGCTCAGTGCTTACCTCAATGTTCAAGGCCCTAGTTTCGATCCTCAATATTGCAAAAATCAATGAATCAATCAATCAAACATCTAGAATGCCTTTCAAAAGCACATAGGGTAAAACTTCCTGCTGCAGAAAAACATTTAAAATACACCAAATCTGCACTTAGTCACATTAGATATTGAAACTACAGAAAAAAGTCATATTTAATAAACAAATTGTTCACTTATAAATAACTTCGATACACTCATTCACTATGACAATCTCTTAAAAAAGATGCCAAAATGTTTAGACAATATAAATGTTCTATGACTCAGGAGCCTGATTTTAAGAAGTCTTCCTTTACATTTCGATTCTCACCAGCCCTCCAGCTTCAGGCCCACATACCTTGTCATTCCGCTCATGATCCCTCATGTGGCGCTGGAACTGAGCCTCTCTTGGGAAGGACAGCAGACAGATCTCACATTTGTGGAAGTTTGGAGTTGGACAGTCATCATCAATGTTCTCCGCGTTCAGTGGTAAAATCCCATCTACACAATTGTGTACATACAGACAATAAATACCAGGTGTTATTCTCATTACATAAACAAAATTAAATTACTTGATTATTATTTAAAGACCAACCTATACCAGAGATTTACAAAAGATGCACAAATTTTTTACAATGAACTTGTTTTAAAGTTAGAAATGAGCAATTTGAGATAGCTGACATACAAGATAAGAGAATTATCCTAAGATTTCTAGAAACCTGCAACTAGTTTCCTGTGACTTGAAACCATGCATGCTGGTCTGGAAGGCTGCTATGGTTTGGATGTGAGGTGTCTCCAAAAGTTCATGTGTGAGACAGTGCATGAAGGTTTAGAGGAGAAATGATTAGGTTATAAGAGCCTTGACCCAATCATCGAGTGAATCCCCTAACAGGGATCACCTAGGTGGTAGCTGAAGGTGGGTAGAGTGTGGCTGAAGGAGGTGGGCAGTGGGGATGTGTCCTTGGGTATATATTTTGTTTCTGGTGAGTAGAGTGTCTCTGTGTGTCTGTTTTGTCTGTCTCTATGTGTCCCCTTTCTGGTCACCATGTGAGCTGCTTTCCTCCACCACACTCTTCTGCATGATGTTCAGCCTCACCTCGGGCCCCGAGGAATGGAGCCCGCTAGCTATAGATTGAGACCTCTGAAACCATAAGCCCCCAGATAAACTTTTCCTCCTCTAAAATTGTTCTTGTCAGGTCTTTCAGTCACAGCACGAAAAAGCGGACAAAGGCCATAATGAAGCTTCTTAAACTTCACGGACCCACTTAATTTCCTTTTAATCCCTAGGGACCATAAAGCAGTCACCTCTAAATCACCTTGAGAGGCATCAATAATCCACACTGTTTTTTCAATCACTCAGTAAAGCCAAACTCCAGCAGAAGCATAAAGCCTTTAGATGCTAATTCTACAATTTGACCTATCTCTAAAAACCGCTGCAAAGCAAGATTAAGTCAAAAAGAAAAGGCTCTGTCCTCTCAGAGGGCCAGCGTCCAGGGAGTTAAGGGAAGCGGCAGCTTAGCCAATCCTGCTCTCACCAAGCCTCCTATGAAGTCGCTCAGGTAAAGCTATAAACTTTAAGGTAGCCTCCAGCAAGAATAAATACAGCAAAGAATATCCAAGAGTAATCACAAGATTTGTCAAGAATGTCACAAATCCCCACTACTCTTCTCTAAGATAAGTAAATATACTCCAAGTCTTAAAATTAGGATATAAATACATAAAGCACCTGAACTGCATAGGGACTAAATACATCCCATGCAACTCTGCATCAAATTTGATTCCAAAAATTGGGATCTGAGACAACTTGGGTTCAGGAGTGGCTCTGCTCCTTCAGAGATGGGACAGCTCAAGCATGACACCTTTCTCACAGCCCTGCACACTCCTATGGGGAGAGGACAACCTCGCAGTCCCCTGATGCCAAGCCTCCTGCCCTGGGCAGAAACCTGCCTGTTAGCAAGGATAGGAGGTGTGTGCAGCGGAGGTGGGCAGGGGCAGGTGGGGGGACAACAGCAACTGACTCTTCTGCAGATCTTTAGGGTAAAGGGCAAAGTCAAGCTTTTAGAAATATTAATGTTCCAGGTGAAAACACTATGTAAAGCAGTATGGAGAATCCTCAGAAAACTGGGAATGGAACCACCATTCGACCCAGTTATCCCACTCCTTGGTTTATATCCAAAGGACTTAAAATCAGCACACTACAGGGACACAGCGACATCAATGTTTACAGCAGCTCAACTCACAATAGCTAAACTATAAAACCAACCTAGGGGTCCTTCAGCAGACGAATGGATAAAGAAAATGTGGTGTGTATACACAATGGAATATTACTCAGCTTTAAAGTAGAATGAAATGATGGCATTTGCTGGTAAATGGATGGAGCTGGAGAATATCATGCTAAGCGAAATAAGCCAATCCCAAAAAACCAAAGGCCGAATGTTTTCTCTGATATGCAGATGCTAATTTACAATGATGGTGGGTGGCTACGGAAAAATAGAGTTACTTTAGGTAGAGGAGAATGGGGGGGGGGGCGGGTACAGGGGTAGGAAGGATAGCAGAATGAATCAGACATTATTACCCTCTGTACATATATGACTACACGACCAGTATGATTCTACATCATGCACCACCAGAAGAATGAGAAATCGTACTCCATTTATGTATGATGTGTCAAAGTGCATTCTACTGTCATGTATAACTAATTAGAACAAATTTAAGAAAAGAAATACTAATGATTCAAAAGATCAAAATTTCATACATTAAAAAAAAAAAAAAAAAGGTCCACTGCTGGGTAGATTGTCACATGCCCAGTAATCCCACTGCTAGGAAAACTGAGAAAGGACAAAGCAAGCTCTTCACAAGTTCAAGGCCAGCCTCAGGAACTTAAGGGTCTCAGCATAAAATTTAGAAAGGGCTGGAGTGTGGCTCAGTGGTAGAACACGTGCACATGGGAGGTCCTAGTTTCAATTCCCAGAAAGTACCACAAAAAAAAAAAAAAAAAAAATTAAAAAGTCTACTGAGGAAGGATTTTACATAAACTTGATTCTATTTATTCTAAACTATGTCCAGATAGAACAAACTGAAATTGTCTGTACTAAACTGTTTATGAATCCACAGGCCCAAATAAAAGGATTTGGGGGACTGCATCAATGGATGTTATTCCCTTCAGAGAAGTCTGTAGTGATGGTAAGAATACTAAGAAGCGGGAAGTACAAATGTGTTTAAATTTGTTTTAAAAATTCAGTAGCATTTTAACCTAAAAGCTAGATACAGCAATAAAAGGGACCCTCAACTAAATTTCTAAAATGCAAAATTAAAAAGCTATCTCCAGATATAGAATAAAATAATTTCCATAGCTGTGATGAAACTTCTTAATGTATTACCAAAGATGATCAGGGATTTAATTGCATCTGACAGATAAGAAACCTAAGAGACATGGAACAATCCATTAAATTTGAAAATGCTTCACTTAAAAACTAAGACATTTCCAGAAAAAAGTATCTTAAGAAGTAAGATTTCCCTTTTTTAACAAAGTTCAAGACATAATAAATGGTGTCTTCAGCAAGTCTCTTCTTTCAAACGGTAATGATATAACATTAATTTGGCTTAAAGACAAAATAATGATTAAAATTAAAGTACGACTGGAGAAGAAGAGAAGCAAGCATGCTTTAGTTTGCACCTGAACATAAATTAAAGCCCAGAGCCCGCTGGACCCGCCTGCCTGGGACACACCTCAGTAGTGTGGCCAGTCCTTCTGCAGGTGGCTTTTCAGCCCAGGCCTCCTCTGGGCTGAGATCTGCTGTCTGTGTGGCCCTGACTCCCTTCTGCTCAGTCCACCCTTCCTGGGCAGTGTTCTAGGCCTAGCAACATCTTTCCTCCATCCTATCTTTAAGGCCATTCCAATTTCGTCCCCAAAGAATCTGTGGTCCACAAAGAGGTCTATTAATGTCTCTTACAGTGTAATGTGGGGTCTTAACCCAGAGGAGGGCCTGGGGGCTGCAGGAGACCCCAGTGTCCTGCTGAAAGGCATGCACACAAGTTGTGCCTAGAGACCTTGTTCCGGGTTCTCTGCAGCCACGGAGGCTGTCAGATCCTTTCAGGGACCAATAAGCTAAGACAGCAGAAACGAATGGCAATCTCACTGTGGCCCACCCTCCTGAAGACCACTGCATCTTCTAATCACAACCAGGATGGGATCCACTGTGTTCCCACACACTCAGTGTGCATCCCCCGTAGGGGACCACCCTCCTCCAACCTCCCCCACCCACCCTGTCCCTGGTGGTCACTACTCTACCCCAGGTCGACTTGGTGCCGGTCCTCTGCACCTGCTCACTTCACTTCAGCGGAGTCCTCCAGTGCCACGCGTCTAACTGCAAATGCCAGGGCTGCTTTCCGCGATGGCCGAGTCACACTCCACTGTGCACGTCAACTGTGCGTCCCTTATGCAGGCTGCATTCTCAAACAGCAGCTACCATAGAAGCCTCGGGGCAGAGGGTCCTAACGTGCCACCAGATGTGCACCTCTGCCACTCCCCTTACACACACACAATCACTGAGCCACTGTCCGACCTGAGAGTCCCTCCAGAGCAGCACTGTTCAGTCTGTGCTCCTGCCCCCGCGACGAGACAGAAGGCACCACTGAAGATTTCGCTGCTGGGGACTGGTATGTCAATTCCTAGACAGTGTTCCCACACACTCATTTGGCAAACAAAAACATGACCATTGGTGGCTTTCATTATTCGCCTTTCTGCTAATATGGGCTCTATATTCACCATCAAGACTAAACAAAAACTACACAGTCATCAGAAAGATTTAAGTAACTTTGACTTTTTAAAAGTAATTTAAAGTCTACTTTTAAAGTTAATTTAACTCTATGAAAATACCGACCTTAAACAGTGTATCTTGGAGTCGGGAAGAACCGTGAGATGATGCTCCCTGAAGCAGCAGGTCCTGAGCCCACCAATAACTTAGAAAGTGTCCATCTCCAAGACGCTCACTTGCTGCTCGAGGACCACCCTCAGTCACATAATGCCACAGCCACCTCCTGCAGCATCCTACGGTCCTGGGCCTAGCAAGCTACCTTCAACTCCTTCTTCTCCCCATGCCAGGCCACCAGGCTGAATCCCTGCCTCTTGTTCCCAACCTAAAGGCACCACACTGGCCTCTTTGGGATATGATGCCATGTTCCAACCAAACCTGCTACATTCAGAGCACAGCTGGGATTTAACTCAAGAAAAACTCTGTGCAGTTAAGATCTCGGTCATCCACAGATCCTTACATGTTCTTAATGTTAAAATGAGAAATAATGGCTCCAAATTCTAAGCAGCCAAGCTAATCCCCAGACTGGCCGACGTTGACTTTGTTTTGAACATGTTTTCTAAAGCACGGCTCCCTTCCTCTCTCTGCTGACACCACACACTACACTGGCTCCTACCCTGTCCCACAGTCCATCCTTCCTCCAGGACACCAGCCTGACCCTGCGGTGTGCTACCACCCACTCACCCGAGTGTTCTCCATCCCCAAGAAAGCCCAGGAGTCTCGGGTCACCATTGCTACTGGAGATCGCTGTCACTTCAGGTGAGCTCTACCATTCCTTCTCTTCTTAATTCCTTTCTACTTTCTCTTTTTCCATTTCTGCTCCTCCTCCCAGACTGGTCAGCTTCCAAAGTCTTTTGCTTGTCTTCTGTAGTGCTGGGATTTGAACCCAGGGCTTTGTACAAGCTGAGCCCTGCCTCAGTGTCCCGCATTGTCATCATCTCCTCCCACCCCCCAGGGCAGGACATCATCAGGTAAAGTTGACTGTTAGTCCTTGCTCCTCAGCGCTGTTTCTCCAGACCTTCACAGACCTGGCAGGCAGCACGTGCCCAACGCCTGATAAATATCTAGAGATGGGAAGAGCTAACGAATTGGGTGTCTGAAGCTCCCGAGAACAATACCTCTAAGAGCTCCTAATTTTAGGCAGCAGGGCTCCTGCCCTCTGTCTCAGGATTCCCTTAGAACAGCATTTCCTGCTTTCCTCTCCTGCTAACTCTCTCCAGGAGCCAAGTGAAACCCGCTGCCATGAGAACCTCAGAGGCCAAAACGCTGAGAGGTTTGCAGCCTAAGCACCACCTGAACTTTGTCACCTGTTTTGTCTTTGAACATCTCTGCTCCTAAGTGGGTACTCATGTGGAAATGAAATGCAACACAGAATAATAATCCCCCAAAATACGGTGAGTCATAGGGTCCCTGCTCTTGTATAGCTCAGAAACTAAGTCCCCAGAAAGACTGAACCACTTGGTCAAAATCTTGCAACCAACCAGTGGCAGAAGGAGGACTGATTTTCAATTACTATTCCAGGCTCCCTCCTGATCAAGCACAGTCCCCTCTCCTCTTGAGCTGACAGCCCAAGACCCCAGTTTCCACCATGCCAGGTATACAGACAGAGACAAATCTGATTTTACCTGCTGGTTACAGTACCTCAAGGTGCAACCCCAGGCCACACAGGTCTTTCAGCCTAAAAGACTCACAAAAAGCAGTGCCAGAGGGCCCTCGTCAGAAGCTCCAGCATGTACACAAACACCTGTCTTCCAAAACGCCAGTGTTTACTGTGATGATGAGCCAGAGCAAAGATAATCAACTGGAAAACTCACACACCAGTCCTCCCAGTACTGGGGAGCTTGTGATCTAACTACAGGCCGCAACCCAGGTGGGCAGTGGACACCTATCCTGTCAGCATTTCTACCTGTGTGAATTCTCTTTTCCTGCCTCGTGCTGCTCTCTTCCCTCTCACTAAGAGATACAGTGACCTCCTTTAAAATACCTGCTTTTCTACTAGTGAATTTTGATTTCTCAGGAAAACTTTAAATGCAGGTAAATGTATATTCAGGTACTACACACATTACCCAAGTTTAACAAAACCCCAGCATGTTAAATCATAACCAATCAAAACCTGCCAATGTCTACATCTCGCCTTCCAGCTAGAACAAGGAATTCTAGATCCCACCGGAGAGTAGCGGGCCTGGACAATGGCCCAGCGGCATGCTGCTGAGCCTGGTGCTTTCTTAATGATCCCACAGGGGTATGGGGCTCCAAGGTCAATTGGGGGTGCAGGGTTTATATCAAGGGGACAAGGAGCCCACTCAAGAGCTTTAAACAGGGTGTGGCTGTCAAGGTATACCTGAAGAGATCATCCGGGCTGCCATGTGATGGATTCAAGAAGGAGACAACCAGCAGAGGTTGGTAAGAAGCTCCACCTTAGACATGGAAGGATGGAGCAGACTGGAAATACAGTTCTGAGAAAGAGGCTACGAGGCTAGGGTGGGAAGTACTGTGGGGAACAGGAGAAACAACTGCTCTTAGCTTTGGAGCCTGAAAACCCAGTGGACAGTGCTGCCACCTGGTGAGATGGGATGTGCAGGTGCTTGTCAATGGGAGTTCACACTGTCTCTCCACCAAGCCCTTCCCGTAGCAGAGACACTGCACCTTAAATTATTCTTGCTTTGAGGGGTGAGGGCTTCGAACCTGGGGCACTTTACCACTGAGCCATACCCAGAGCCCTTTTTGTTTTTTATTTTGAGACAGGGTCTAAGTTGTTAAAACTGGCCTTGAACTTGCAATCCTCCTGCCTCGGCCCCCTGAGTCTCTGGGGTTATAGGCATGCACCATCATGCCTAGCTTGCACTTTATTCTTGGCATAAGTCATATTAACCAAAAAAAAAAAAAAATGAACAAAATAATGTCAAAGCAAAGCAGCAAAAGGAATGAGAAACCACCAATCATTGATACAAATTCTGACCAGCTACCCAGCTACCTAACACATACCTGTTACATCTGCCAGCATCACTCCCCACAATCCAAAAAGGCGACAATGTATATGAACTTCAATGAAATTCATGGATACCAGGTCCAGGACATCTCCCTAAATTACATGCCTGTTAACTATGTCAAGTGCAGCAGCAATAATAACTTCTGGTTTTCCATGTCTTGTTTCTAAGCTCACGCACTGATCCAAACAATCACCTTTCTCCATAAAAGCTTCAGAGGACACAGGGTCTCATTAAGTTGCTGAGGCTGGCTTTGAACTTGTGACCCTCCTGTCTCAGCCTCCCAAGTCACTGGAAGTACAGGCATGTGCCACCATGCCCAGCTTACACTATTCCTTTGCATCTTCAGATCTGACCTTATTCTGGGTTCCTGCACTTTTGCTCCTAATTCAAGTTCTGTCATGAGCCTGTATTAACTCAAGAAAAGTCTGACACTGAGTCACTAGCCTAAGCAACCGGCTATATGAAGCTCAATGGAAGTCCTGGTGCAATCCACCGCTCCTGTACAAATTCCAGGCATGCATCCTCCCTCCAGCTTATGCAAGGTCTTTTCCACACACTAACAGCCTCTCTGAATGTGCAAACTGTCCTGGCGTGCTTCAGTACCACAGTGGTTGGGACTAAGTACTGGCAGGTATTTCCCAAGTATAGAAATAAATCACAATCACAGCACTCAAGCAGAGCTCCTTGCCTCCAGACCCATTAGCCTTGCACCTCAAAAACACCATGCCACAAGTGGAGTCCCTGTCCAGTAAAATCCAATTGTTCTAATCAAGCTGCAGTGAGGAGAAAATTAAACCCCCATGGCAGAGCAGAGACGAGGGTACATTTGCATCAGTTTTCAGAATCCGAGTTATATCACAAGCATAAACTGAGGAACAGTTCCTGAGACCCACTGTGCGCACTAAGCTCTCGGAGCTCAGGTTCCAGGCAACAGAAATACTCCTGACACCTACTATGTGCCTGCCAAGAATTCTGGGAGCTCGGGCCCGGGCCAGCCCGGCACCTACTAAGTGCAGGATCAGCGCTCCAGGGCACAGGGCTGCGGGCCCAGGTCAGCCCGGCGCCCGCGGCGTGCACGCCCGGCGCTCCCTGAGCTCGGGCGGCTGCGACAGTCCCGGCGCCCGCTGCGCGCACGCCCTGCGCTCCGGGCGCCCTGGGGCTCGGCTGTGGCCCGCGGGTCGCTCCGCCGCGCGGCCCCCGTCCTGCCTCCCGCGGCCGCCGCCGCCCGCCTCCCCGCGGCCCGGGCCGAGGGCGGCCGCCTCCCACGCGGCGGCGGGGCGGGGCGGGGGCCGGGGTCGGGCGCGGGCCCGGCGGGCGGGGGGCGGGAGCGCGGAGCGGCCGCGCGGGCCGCCGCCCCCGCCGCCGCGGCGCCCGGAAAGTAGGCCCAGCGCGGAGGCGCCGGCCGCGGCGCCCGTATCCGTCCGCCCGCGCTGCGCCGCCGGCCATCGCGCCGCCGCCGCCGCTCCCGGCGCGCCCCGCGCCCATCCGGGCACTCGGGCCGCGGGCCTTACCGGAGTCGCCGCGCGCCGCGCCGTCCCGGGGCTTCGGGGGGCGGCCCCGCGGCATCGTCGCGGCGGCCACCCCTCTCTGGCGTCTCGCTCGGCGGCGGCGCGCACGCGCGGCACCGGCGGGGCGGCGGCCGGACCGGACCGGCCCGCCGGGCTCACGGGGCGACGGCGCCCGGACGCGCGGGCGGCAGCGCTCGCACCGCGCCGGCCTCGGCGGGTTCCATGGCCCGCGGGCCGCGGCGGGGGCGTTGGGCGCGGGCGCGGTGGGGGCGGGGGCGGCGCGGCGCGCATGCGCGGCCCGGCGGGCGGCGGCGTCACCTGCCGGTCCGCGGGCGGCCGGTGTCCGCGCGTGGCCTGTGGGTCCACGGGCCCGGGGCCCTCAGGGTGGCCCTCGGTGGGCACGGGGACCAGGAAGGCCTGTCCTCTCAGCGGGCACGTAGACCTGGGAGGCCGGTCCCTCCTCGGGCAAGGGAACCAGCGAGGCCTGTCTCCTCTGCGGGCACGGGGGACCTTGGAGCTGGACCCTCAGCGGCCACGAGGACCACAGCGGCCTGTGACTCCGGAAACACCGGGACCGTGGGGAGGCCTATCCATCCTTGGCATTGGGTCCGTGGGGTGAACCATCCTGTCGGTGGGTATTGGGGGCCCCAGCTTAGCCCATTCTCAAGCATCAGGGCCCATGGCCTGATCAGGCTCCGAAGTGTAGCCCGCCAGTGGCATCATCCCAGCCCTTTGGCAGCTTGTCCCTAAGGTATTGGAACCCTAGGGAGTCACCACAGGTTGAACCAAGGGTGGTTTATGTTCCAGGCCTTTATCCTGTATTCATTTGGGTTTACATACATTGGTTTGATTCCAGGAACATCTCTGCTGAGCACCTCATCTTCCTGCAGCATTTCTGGATGCCTCAGACAGCGTCATTGCCAAACCATCCTTGCAAGGGCAAAAGCCTTGGAACTTAAATGCATCCAGATGGTGGACCTTGGACCTCGGAGGACATAGCCAGAAGTCAGTGATGTTTCCTTGATACATTAAATGTTAATATGTTAAAACTTAAAGAGTTTCAGATGTGTTCATCCTGCATTTTTTGGTGTGGCCCAGTCATTCCACTAAGTGATGTGCCTGCAGGGCAACAAAGTATTAGGCCAGGTTAAGAGTAAACGATAAGCTGGGTACTGTGGCCTACACCTGTAATCCCAGCGGCTTGGGAGGCTGATACAGGAGGATAGCAAGTTCAAAGCCAGGCTCTGCAAAAGTGAGGTGCTAAGCAATTCAGTGAGCCCCTGTCTCTGAATTTGAAAAATACAAAATAGGGCTGGGGATGTAGCTTAGTGGTCCAGTGCCCCTGAGTTCAATACCCAGTACCCCCCCTCAAAAAAAAAAGTAAATGATAAATGACCAGAGAATAACCATTTGTTCAAGGAAGTCAGAAGCAGTCTAACATGATGTCAGAGGCTCAGCAAAGTTAGTTCAAAGCAATAGACAATGACTACTCTGAGCATACCAAGGTGTTACAGGGGAGTCAGAAGTAAGAACAATCCACTGGCCAGAAACTTGAACTTGGAAGGGCAAAAAAGACAAAACCAATAATAAGTTGTAACGAGATTTTTAAAAGTCCAGAAAGCAGGACTAATTACCACTAGAAAAATAGGAAGGATGCTGTTTTAACTATATCTTAGAAAAAGGTTTGCATTTTAACAGAGTTGGTTAGGAAAGATCTTTTCAGGTGAAGACCAGTCAAGAAGGGAAGCTATATGTCAGCTGCTTTATGTGTGTCCATATATGTTTCCTTATAGTCATACAATTCCTGAAAAACCTCAATTAGATAAGTTTCTCATACTTAAAAAAAAAAAAAAAAACAGCAAGAAACCAGAGGTTATTTCCAAGATCTGCCAGCCAGTGAATGGCAAATGATGATTGTTTTATCAACGTCTGTTTTTGAGTAGTGCTGTGTGCTTTTATGTAAAACATCTCTAATCCTTATAGCAGTTCTGCAAGATGTCCTTTTACAGATGAAGAAATTGAAGTTGAAAGAGGTTAAGTAATTTTCTAAAGACAAATCCAGGGTTCAGAATCTGCTTGCCTCTTCATTCCTTGCTATTTCTAATTGCATCAAAGCAGGAATCTTAGCCGGGTACAGTGGCACACACCTGTAATCCCAACGGCTGGGAAGCTGACGCAGGAGGATCGAGAGATCAAAGCCAGCCTCAGCAAAAGTGTGGTACTAAGCAACTAGTGAGACCCTGTCTCTAAATAAAATACAAAATAGGGGTGGGGATGTGGCTCAGTGATAAGTGCCCCTGAGTTCAATCCCTGGTACCCGCCCCCCTGCAAAAATAAAAGGGGGGGTGGATCTTAAGTTTGGGCAAAATCTGAGTATTATTTCCATATGCATGTTAAGGCTCAAGTAGCATGTAAAGCTGAGAATAAAGGTTAGAGGCAAATCATAAAAACTTGGACATAGGGGCTGGGGATGTGGCTCAAGCGGTAGCGCGCTCTCCTGGCATTCGTGCAGCCCGGGTTCAATCCTCAGCACCACATACAAACAAAGATGTTGTGTCCACCGAAAACTAAAAAATAAATATTAAAAATTCTCTCTCTCTAAAAAAAAAAACTTGGACATATAAATTAAGTTAATTTGCATTATATGTGGCAACCAAGGGTTGCCATGAAGAAATAATCCTACAAACCTGCAAAAGGGGTATGGCTGAAGAAAATGCAAATTCTTGCAAAGCAATTTTACCAAAGTAACTTCAGTAACTACACACAATGGTAACTTGACAGAAATTTGAAGACACTGCTTTTAACACTCATTAGGAAGAAAACACATTATCCAAACCACAGAATTGTCTGATTTTCTGGGTAACGGAATCTTGCAACTAATTATGCTCTCCTCTCTTCTTCAACTAAGGAGCTTGAAATCCAATTTAAATTCACCTTTTGTAACTAGAGGATTTGTTGGATGCATTCTGCTACTTCCTCTGCCTTTGGTTTTTCTGTTTTTTCCTTTCAATATAGTTTCCTCAGCTATTTATTCACCCTGATAGGCATATACTTTTGTAAATTGCTTCAAATTCACAGAACAAAATATGATTTAAATTCAAACACATATAACGCAGCCATGGGGATTATAGGCATGTGCTACTGCACCAGGCTAAGATTCCTGCGTTGATGCAATTAGAAATGGCAAGGAATGAAGAGGCAAGCAGATTCTGAACCCTGGATCTGTCAGAGCAGAGTGAAGGAAAAGCAGAGGCTCAGCATGACAGAATAGGCAGCTCTCCAGTGAGAACACAGGTACCATCTCATTTAAAGACAGTGTTGCTGGCCACAGTAGCCACGCCTGTGATCCCAGCAAAGAGTGAGCCTGAGGCAGGAGGATTGCAAGTTCAGGGCCAGCCTCAGCAGCTTAACAAGGTCCCACACAACTTAGCAAAGTCCTATCTCAAAACAAAAACGGCCGGAGATGTGGCTCAGTGGGTTAGCACCCCTGGATTCAGTTCCCCAGTACCAAAAAAAAGGGCAGTATTGTAAGAACCTCCCACATGGTTTATTTGGCTGGACCAATGTCCAGAAAAAACTGACCCCTGAGGGGCTGGGGATGTAGCTCAAGCAGTAGCACGCTCACCTGGCATGCATGCGGCCCGGGTTCGATCCTCAGCACCACCTACAAACAAAGATGTTGTGTCCGCCAATAACTAAAAAATAAATATTAAAATTCTCTCTCCCTCTCTCTCTCTTTAAAAAAAAAAAAAAAAATGACCCCTGAGCTGCACCCATCATCCATTTCCTCCTCATAACTGTTGCCAGTGGCAACTGAGTGTTTCCTCTGAGCCTTTTCCCTTCTCCACTTGTAGGCCCATTACCTACTGTGGTTGCCACTATCATATCCTAACCTACCACCAGAGGACACTCGAGTCACAGAGGGAAAAGGAAGATGTGTGTGGGTGGGAGAGCTCTTCACTTTGCTCCTTAAGCCTCTGCAGCATGAGAATGTCATTCTGGAGCCACAGGCATTAGTGGCCTGGAAATGAAGGCAACCAGAGAACGCACAGCTCAGATGTGGGTCTGTCACCACTGGAGCCCTGAACCAGGTGGATCCCAATCCTCTCTGTGTACTTTTCAGTTACGTGAGCCAATGAGAGCACGCAAGGAAACCCAGATTAAATTAAGGTCTCTGCCTTTGGCATCCAGTCCTAACTGAAGTTACTTTGGTGAAATTGCTTTGGAAGAATGTGCACCATCCTCAGGCACACCCCTTTTGCAGGTTTGTAGGATTGTTTCTTTGTGGCAACCCTTGGTAGAAGAATGTTGGAAGGGTTTCTCTGTGTTGTGACCCAAGACCTCTTTCCTAAACATCAGATGTATTTCTAACGGCATTCTCAGTATTCCCAATTGCATGTTGCATCAAACAGAACCAGAATAAAGCAGGTGTATTTAGCCCGCCACATCCTTGTTCTTCAAGTTCTCCTATGAAAGGGGATGTGAGTACCACTAACACGCTGCCATCCCACCTCCCAAGACCCAGGAGAGATCCCTTGCCCGGCTGGTTTATTGCAGTATAGCTAGCATTCAATAAACTGCATAAACTCCAAGTGTATGGTTTGACAAGTCCTAACCTGCACAGGGTTAACCATCACCATGTGAAGAGAATACATTTGTCACCCTGAAAGGCCCTCCTGCCTCTGCCACCCTTCCTCCTACCCCCCAAGCAGTTGCTCATGATTCTAGATGAGTTAAAACTCCCTAGTTTAGTATATGCGAAATTGTATGCATGCTCTGTTTTGGGTGAGAGGGGCAGTCACCCCTTCCATTAAGCACAGTTATTTGGAAAATCATCTATGCATTGATTCATAACTCATTCCTTTTGATCATTGGATAATGTCTGGGAATCATTCTTGCTTACCCTTCTTTACTGCAGCCCTCAGTCACTTCACCCACATCCTGTCTGTCTCAATAGTGTGTCTTCTCTCTGCCCGATCAGACTTGCAGCCAGGCACCTGCTTAGCTTCAGTCAGTGTGGCCTCCCGCCGCACAGGGCTTCTGCCTGTGTGCACAAGCCACATGTACTGCCCCCTGCAGGAGTTCCTAGATGTGTTCTTTGTGTGCCTGAAGTAAACCCAATTCAGTTATAATGTAGTATCCTGATATATGACTATATTTTGTTTGCTAGAATTTTGTTGAAAGTTTGTACAGTTGTAATCACAAATGAAACTGGCTTTCACTTTCTTTTTTCTTGGTGTCTTTGTTCTGCTGTCTGGATGATGCTAGCATCATAAAACAAACTAAAAAATGTACCATTACCTTTTACTCTAAGAGTTCTCAAAGATTGGAATTGTACTTCCTTATTTTTTGAGTCACTTCTGAAGTCATATGATACGGGAGGTTTTTCATGGGCACATTTTTAATTACAGATTCAATTTCACAATATTTAATGGACAGTTTTGGTTTTTTTTTTTTAACATGTTAGTGTCAGCACTTTTACAGATGTGTCATTTCATCTGAGTGTTCAAGGGCAGTAGTGTGGCACTCCGGACACTGCCCTTGCTCAGCGCATTTGACCCGTGGGATAAGTACAAACGTCCCCTTCCATCCTGACCTTGTGTTTGCCTTTGTGAGAGCTGATTTCAGGTGTCGACTTGACTGGATTAGAAACACCAGAAACCTGGAAAAGCATGCTTTGGGATGTGTTGTGAGGGTGCTGCAGAGGTGGTCAGCATCTGAGTCTTCATGGACTCATGGGGAGACCACCCTCAGTTTAGGTGGGCACTATCCAGTCACCCAAGGCCCAGGAGAGAAAGAAACAGAAGGCAAATCGGTACTTTGCCCAGTGAGCTGGGCATGCAGGTCTTTTGCCCCACACATCAGATATCCCGGCTTCCTGGTCCTGGGACTCCAGGCCTGGCACCAGCAGCCCTTCCCCAGTTCCCAGGACCATTGGCTCCCCTGGTCTGGAGGCCTTCAGACTTGGACCAAGCCAGGTAATCAGTGAGCACCCCAGGGTCTGC